AAGCCGGAAGGCAATATGCATGTTTTGCGCCTCATCACCGGGCCAAGTGGCAAGTAGGCACGATGACAACATGAAGACCTTGCGACAGCACGGAGTGAATGCCAACAGCCGGGAGCTCTGCCCCGCAGAAACCATGAGCGCCACATCCCAAAACCCCAAGTGTGCACATTCGAAAGCGAAGACATGCATGCGATGCAGCTCCCTATACTTGGCTCAAACAACACGCAGTGTCACAGTTCTGTTTCTCGAACGACAAGCCTATGCGTCGATTCGTGCGTGAAGGACTGCCAAACTGCGCGTCTTCACCCGATTAACCCGAACTCCGCTTGCGTTGAAAGCCATCGTGGTCTGAGCCACGACTGAAGAAGCAGGATAAGTAGGGATCTGACTTTTCTGTGCCGAGCAGAACTGTTCAAGAACGACTTTCACAAGAACCGGTTCGACAGCTGCAGTTTTTGCTGGATGGATGACCACGGGAGACCGGCAATTACACCCCCCTGACAGCTAGATACTAGTTAGTGAAGTGGAGGATCCAAGCAAGGTCCTGCGCTCACGAACCAAGCCGGAAGGCAATATGCATGTTTTGCGCCTCATCACCGGGCCAAGTGGCAAGTAGGCACGATGACAACATGAAGACCTTGCGACAGCACGGAGTGAATGCCAACAGCCGGGAGCTCTGCCTAGAGCTTGGGTGTCGACTGTTTCTCGAACGACAAGCCTATGCGTTGAAATGCCCGGCAGGTTGTTTGTGTGTGAGCGCCAACAGGGGCTCTGGAACCATCATGCAAGTCTCAGGAGCTGTTAGGACCCTGTTCAGAAACAGCCCCAAACCGTCCGGAACCGTCCCGAAGCGTCGGAACGATAGTAAAGTGCCGATCTGGGCTTCAAAGTTCGAAGGACCGAATAGGTCTCGAGATTAATGTCACGATTCTTGCGGCCAGAAAACGCAAGGACAGACACCCTCCATTAAACAGACCACCAGCGATTCCAACCTATGCGTCGACTATTTTGTGAAGGACAGCCAAAGTGCGTGTCTTCACCTGATGAAGCCGAACTCCACTTGCGTTGAAAACCATCGTGGTCTGAGCCACGACTGAAGAAGCAGGATAAGTAGGGATCTGAGCTTTTCTGTGCCGAGCAGAACTGTTCAAGAACGGCTTTCACAAGAACCGGTTCGACGGCTGCAGTTTTTTGCTGGGTGGATGAGCATGGGAGACCCCTGAAAAAGCCTGGCATTGTGGCGGCCAATTGTCGCAGGTGTGAAACCTGTGCTCGGCTGCACTGCAGTTGCAGGGCACTGGGAACCACGAAGGTTTACTGTGGTCTTTCGTGACAGAAGACTTCGTTAAGCCTTCGTGCTCTGAATGGGAACTGACGAGCAGGAAGTCCGTGCCATCGGAAACTCTATCAACCTGCAGGTGGTCTTTAGCCGCAGCAGCGGGTCTTCGACTCTTACAGTAACCACTGCACGCGGATTCCCAAATTATTGCTTCAGCTGCCTCCTGCTGTCGGACACAAGCGTAGCTTCCAGAACCCATGACAAGGCGACACGGAGCACATCGGAGAAACTCGAGGTGGATGCGGCTCGTCCGGCATTCGTCATGACATGACAACAGGAACAGAACCTGTGCCATCCAAGTGTATGTTACATCCAAAGGCCCAAAGGTATGTGTGTATACGAACCGATGACAGCAAAGTCTGGCTGCGCAGGTGTGCTTGTCGCATCAGTGCTCGCCAGCGGTCATTCCATTTAGCTTCGAGCTCCTGTCGGGCTGAAAGTGCCGCTTGCAACAAGACAGGCCAAGTCGTGGGCAAACACAAGCTCCGCCACAAGCATGAACGGTGACCCTGTCGCAACGCTTTTGCGTCATCCGAGCAGCGACAGTGTCCTGGTGGGAGAAACCCGAAACTGGGAGATTTTCTGTCCGACGCCTAAACGCTGACAACGCTCGAGTCCGCGGTGGCCGCACAGGTTCTCATACAATCGCAACAAACGGAAAGACTACCCGCTGTGATGGAATCAAACCTGCCTCAAGAGTGCCACCTCGCGCAGAACTTTGCGAAGCTTTACTGTGAATGGACGGGACACGTGGATGATCTGTCGATGTGGAACCAAGAGCAGCCCAACCCGTATCTTCGCACATTGGCATGTTGTTTCAGAGTTGGCACTGGGATCGCTCGGAAATTTCCGAGACTTAACCAGTGACAATGCTTGAATCCATGTTGGCAACGGGTCCTACATGGAGTCTTGCCAAACTTCGAGCACTGCAAAGGAGCCGCCGAGCAACGTGCTGGATGCAAACATGTGCATCTAGGCAACTAATTGGGCGATGTGTCATGGGCCAACTTTTTGACCACGATTCTGCAGAGCATTATGTGCCGGAGAATTGGCAGAGCACGGTGGCAGAAACATCTCCTGTGCAGAAGAGAAACGTGGGGCCTGGATGATTTCAACAGAGTGGCGTGCTATGGCATGCCCGACAGTGCCACGGAAACATGCGAGGCGCATCCAAACCGGTCGTGGCCACGAAACATTGCTGAATCTTAAGCCCATCTTGCGGGCAAGCACATGGCTGCAAAGCTCGAACGACGGACAATGCATCACGAGACTGCATCCTGGGCTTTCATGATTTCCAAATCACGCACTGTTGAATCGGCCACGTGACGCTTTTTCGTCGGCATCTCACTTTCTGTTTCCTGCCAGCATGGAGCAAGCAGAAAGCTATGTCTTTCAAGATTCCACGCTCACCCTTTGCAAAAAAATCCCCCCTGTCCCTCCCTCCGTCTCTGCATTTGTCCCTCCCATTCCCTCCCTCCCTCCGTCTCCCTCATCTAATCCCCAGGGCGAAGAGTTTTGATGCTAGGAAAAGGCTTCAGTCATTGCATATTCAATTCTTGTGCGTGTCATCCTTGCACCAGGGTGCTCATGCCCTTGTGCACAGCTCTACTGGCTGCCTACATGAGCAATTCACATGCGACTGAATGACATATGGGGCCAAAATGCACTAACACATACACTAGCAACCCACCACCATCCCAGGCGACCGCCGGATAGAAACTAGAGTAGTCGAACTCGCCATCTAACGACCGTGAGCTAGCAACGCAGCAGCACTCGCGACAATCTCCTTTTTCATGGATGTGGCACACATCCCAATACCACAGACAGCAACTACCTCTATACATACATGAGGATTGCTTGGCAATTCTTCCAATGCTCTACGACTGCTCCCAATCTGGACGGACTCGGGCTCACTGTTTTCCTTGACTTGAGCCACATCTTGAGCCAATGTCGGAGTTTCCACAATTGGGCTTGTGGTACTGCAGAGGCCGGGAATGATGCAATACAATCTAACACGGTCCCTTGACGATGCACTCAGGGCAATTGTCACGTCCAGCATCATTCCCAATTCAAATAAAATGCAATTATGGAATCAGTGCACAGCGAAGACGAACAACGGAAATGCAATCACTGTGACTCTGACCACTGAAGGTTGACTCTAGACTATTCAATCGTCGGGTTTACCGAGAAATTTAATGTTTGAAAGCTGGGAATTTCAATCTGCTGCACTCCATCAGCTTTCACATAATCCGTGAACAATGAGCTGTACAATGCATTCAGCTATCGTCAGTTGGAATCAATGCCACATATGCAGTCAGTGCACAGAACAGTGCATCATCAGCAATCCACTGAATGTCGCAGCAGTCCAGAATGACAAACCCATCGAAGAAGATATCAGTGTCAGTCCGGTCTATGCAGAAACCATAGCAATAACGAGCGTAGAGCGATAATGGCAATCTGTGACTTGAGACTGTGTCACAATCACAACCAGCACTCCTCCATGTTTTCTTCAACACAATTTCCAATAGGAACTCTCGGGTATTCAATAGGACCACTGAAGGTGCTGGATCCGGTGATTGCAATTCACCTTGATCAAAACTGGATGTAGCAACTGCTGAACTTATTTCTTTGCAATCGGATGGTCGTCACAAGTGACCAATGGAACGACTTTGTAATCGAAAAGCTCGAAGAATGACAATTCATCGAGTCAATGCCCTCGATGATCTTGAAACCCAGTTGAAAGCTTCTGCCAATATTCCACAGTTTCCATTGAGCTTCAATGCGAATATTTCATCTCTTCCTGGCAATGGGTTAGATGCAGCATTTCTCTCAATATCCTCGCAATGACTCGTGATCGAGTTCATGTCTGGCAATGCTCTGGTTTCCATTGCACAATGCATGAGTTGTGCATTGAACCAATCAATGCCGTGAACACAAACAGTGGCAATTTCTTGCGCATCTGCAGCTGCGGCAATAGAAGTTGATCTTCATATTGCCCTGCAGGGAAGGCAACGACATTGGCGGTTCTCCATGAGCGTTCCAATTTGTAGACTGGTGTGTGCAATGCTTCTGTTGGAGGTTCCAACAGTTGATCGCACAATCCAAACGTGTCCATAGGTGAAAATCTTTTATAACCAAGCACAGCTGCAGACGGCACACATGAATTCAGCAGGGCCTATGCGCAGCATGAACGGACTGCCAGAGCACTCAAACGAAAGCGTGAGGAAAACACAAACGTAAAACCAGATTTCATCACCATTTCCTCACCACCAAAATCCATCCTCCACGGGAACAGAAAATGTGATCACCCCGCCAAAGTATGGCGAGTGCACATGTGCAACAGTCATGCTTTCACACGGTTTCAAATGCCTACAGAGTGCTCCCAACTTTACATGTCCACTCACATCGCACTGCTGAACTCAACAAGTGTGCACTCACAGCAGTTCGCAGTCCTTTGCCGCGGGCGGACATACCGCACTCCAGAGCATCAAGGCGTCATTTTTTCGCACTATGAACAAGCACTATGTGCACCTATGCACCTCCAGAGAGCCAGTTTGCTCCCGCGCGCGCTGAACTTTCAAGCAGTATCAAGACAGCGTTGATTTCACCTGGATGGTGAATGAAGAATGCCAGTGGAACTGCATCATCGCAAAGGTCGCTCTTAGTGCGCGCATAGCACGTCACCGGTAGCGTCAACCCCGTAAGTTGGCATCTCAAGCAGGTCATTGCACACATAAGAATTCTTGTCTTGGCTGCCACTCACGTCAATATGTGACCTGTCGTTGTCACATACACAAGGGCAAGGATGCACAGCTAAGATTTAGGCACTACAACCCCAATCAAAGGTGCTCACTCGCCTCAAGGACGGAAAGTGGCAATGCAATTAGTTCGCATCGTTTGGTATTGGGCTCATTGTCTCAGTGTGGTTCGGGCTCGAACCACATCACGTTGAACATCATGTTCACCTGCTGATATGCTCCTCGATCAACAAGATCATTGATGTTTTGTCTGCAAAACCAGCACATGGTGTGATTGGGACATCGCCTCCGCACCTCACTGTGTGCAAGCATCACGATATGCATAGCAGCATTGCGAAGGCCATGGCATGCTGGGCACGTGTGGAACCTCGTTCCACTCGTCGGTGCAACCCACACTGCACACTCCGGGCGAACACTGATGATTTCAAAAGGTCGCCGAGGAGACACTGCAACAGTCAGTTCATCTGTCTGAAAAGCGGAGGATTCCACTCAACTCTCGGTCACAAAGCCCAAGGCAACCAATCGTAGATTAAAGGCAAAGCAGCAAAGCAGAGCAAGGATGATCAGAGATTAAAACCGTAAGTTTGACGCACAGCGAAAAGACAACACCAGAACCCCCAGGCTCTAGCGGATCTTTTGCTGGGACTCGCGCATGCGGTCCTTGAGCAGTCAAGCTGCGTAGTGAGACAAAGTTGGCATGAATCCTAACCAAGACACAGAAGCACATGTACGCATGTCCGTGACAAATCACACCCCCCTCGACGCGAGCTCACGCGTGAGGAGAGCGGAGTTTAGGAGAGTCACGTACACTGATTGTGCACCGAGCCACACCTCTTCCGGTCAGCTAAGCTTAAAGCAGTAAAGGCCATTAGATGTGGGTCGGTCTCTGCATCCGGTTCAAACCTATGTTTCACTTCTGTACAGACGCAGCCTTTTGTGATCGTCAGGCGCATAGCGAATTGCCGTGTGATCGTTGGCAATCGGATGTTCCATCGGATCTATGCGGGGGTAACACACTAGACTCAACGCGCTCAGAGTGTAGACTCGGCAGCATCGAGTGTCCGTGAAAAGAGAGGGACACACGAGGAAAATACCATGGCTTGCCATTGTACCCCTGTGGGTCTTCTCAGCGCGGCGCAGGCAAGGAAGGCTGAGGAAGTAGCGGAAATTGTGTCATAGCCGGGTTTCACCATCAGAATCCGCCTGACCCTGTAGACGCATGAAGCATGGGTCAGAAAGACTCAACCGGATTCACCCTGCAGTGACACAATACGTCGCCACGTAGGTCGTCGGTCGTTACCTACGACTTGTGGGGCTACGGGTACGGTCCTTATTTCCTCGTCCAGGATCGCCCCTTCCTTTGTTTCCCTTATCGCCCTTTCCTCGGCCTTTCTCCTGTTTTCCTTTTCCTTTCTCGGCTTTCCCTCTTCCTTTGCCTTTCGTCGGCTGCCTCGTGTCATCAGTTTCATCGATGAGGCCTGTCACGTTGGATCCGGTTCGGGATTTGCCCTTAGCCGTGGTCTCCTTGGCCGGACACATTGTTCGAGATCGCGGCTCCGAAGAGGCAGTATCGGAAGGAGGTGGCGGAGCAGCATCCGTTGCTTCAGCAGCACGCTGTTGCGTGCGTCCCCGTGCTTCTGCACTTTTGATCACCTGAGCCGGCGCTGGTCGCGCAATCGAGGGAGCCCACTTTTCATCGCGAGGCAACTTCGACGGCGGATTCGACGCAGTGCGAACGCTAGGTGCCGGGAACTGGGGATTAATCCTTTCCTGTGTAGCAGCAGACGTACTTCCAGGCGATGCTGCTCGCCCCGCCCCCGTATTCCCGGTATGGGGAACAGTAATGCCAGCCGCCCTCATATTAATATCGTCATCGGGATTTGCGCCCATCGCGATGATGACGGCTGCAGCTTTCTTCCTGATGATGGAAAGCGTACTCGGCGCATGGTACACGCGAAGGGTGTCCTCAATCGTCGGGTTATCCAGATCTGACTCCGGAACCCGAGTCTTCATTCGCAACACTGAGGGCAACCGCATTCGATCGGAGTATTCTGCCCTCCCCGACACCATTAACGGTTCTCCATCAGGATGAGCGGCGCTGTAGCCTGTTTGCCGATGTGATTTTCGAGTCGGCAAATGGGATGGCGGCGGCATGTTATGAGGCGGTGGCGGAGCCGTCTCGGGAGCGACACCCCCGAGATGCTCTCGTCCGGTACGCTGCGATGATGGATCGGGTCGTACCGCTCGATCGAGCTCAGTATCATCCTCATCCTCGTCATCCGTAGGAATGGGAACGGCATGAGCCTCGGGAATCGGCGCTTGTCTTTGCTCGGTGACCTGTACTCTGCGCTGAGGTGCAGGGTCTCGCCGTCGTGCCTGGCGAGCCGCAACATCGAACACTCTCGGAGGATCATCCAGTTCATCGGGGAGAGCCTCGAAGACGTCCTCAGTCCTTTTCATCAGAAGCGGGTCAGTGCTGTTTGCATCGGGAAGCTGATCCTTGACTCCTTCAACAAGATTGAAGAATGTCTTCTCTGTCGCACGATCATCGTCAAAGTATTCTTTGATCTTGACAGAGTGATCGCGAACGAACTCCTTGAATTCCTTACGCGTCTCTTCCGGCGTTTCGGGTGCATCAAGGAGTGCCGTATTCCCCTCAGCAATAATCGTGAATCGGGGGTCAGAGTGATGCGGAATAAGCTTCCGTCCTAAGGGATCTAACTCACGCCAGTTGATGGCTTGGACGTTGGATTCGTCTTCTCCTTTGCCTTTCCCTTTGGGCTTCTCGCTTGCCGCTGCGGCTCCTTCGATCTCTTCTGCTTCATCGTCAGAGATATAGCCAGGCTCACCTTTTGTCGGAATGCCGTAGCATGTCGTAAGTGTAACCTTGGCCAGGAGCGCGGAAAGGCTCTCACTGTCGACACGCATGTAACGTTGATACTTTTGCGTATCCGTGATAGTGGCACGGAATTCATCCAACGTTCCAAACTCGGTGGAGAGCCGAATGTGCCGCCTCATCGCCAAATTGGCGTTTTGCAGGGGCAGATGAGCAAGTCGGATCTTTTCTGCCATCTCTTGGTCGACGGTATAATCGACCGTCACACCTGTGTAATAGGGGGAGAGATATCCTCGCGACAGGCAGACTCGATATGCGCGCTGGCAATGAATCGACCAACGTGCATAGTAGCACAATGGCTTTTCGCGACATGTGGCGAAGATCGCTCCAAAATGCTTGACAATCGTGGCAGCACACGCAATCGACTGTGAGTTGAAGAAGTCTTCTACTCCACATCGAGCTTCCTTGCCAGTGATACCGGCAACGAGTCTCTCAATGGAAATGTCCAAGCGAATGGCGCCCTGAATCGTACCGCGCACGCTTCTCTTGAACAGTTCCACTTCCTTCGGCGATGTGTCAGCAGCGGTGCATTTGATCGGTGGCACTCCGAAGAATGCGGTCTGCCTATGGTCCTCAGCGAGGGACCTAGACACCGGGAAATTCCTCAGCTGCTTGATCGCAGGAAACTCGTGAAGCTTGAATTCGGTAAGCTTGTTTCGCTCGATCAGATCATTGAGCCACTCAGCATGACTTCCGTAATATTCGACTTGGAAGGGGTTCACAGGATCGGCGTAGAACATCCCATCAGGATAGTGAATCGGCTTAGTGCAAGAGTGACACATGTGGAGACCAACAGGGAATGCAGCTCCGCACATGGGGCAGTCGAAGCTAGCGAGTGGCCACGTTTCTCGTCTGTGGTCTCCCCTCTTGGGTCCAGTGCCAAACTTCGGGCCTCCGACGTATTTGAAGGCCGTGTTGAACACTAGAGACCCCGTATCCATGAAGTATGCAATCGGCATACATGCGAGAGGGATACTGTCCTTGATCGCATAGTACCCTCTCGGATGGAATGTAATCGGATTGATACCTGCTGCAATCATGTGCAAATCAATCGCAAACACAATCATGCGGTTGGATCCCATACCCTCGGGGAGCATGCTTTGTGATGATGCGGTGTTCGAGAGCGTCTCGCGTCCCGGGTTCATTCGGACGTTCATGTATACCTCTTCCCACTCGTTGTTCTTCCCAGATCCAGGGGCATACGGGAGCAGTGTGAGGAAGAGCTGCCCCTTTGGGGGATTGAGCTTGCAATCGTTCATGTATCCGAAGAACTCGCGAATCGTTGCGCATCCCCATCCGTACTGGGGATGATAGCGGACCACATTTCGTCTCCTCTCGCCATTGACATAGTGTTCCTGAGCGAGCTGAGTGAATGGCCCGTGCTGACACTTGGTCAGCAGTCGGAATCGGTTGAAATTATCGGGGCCGAAACCATAGGTTGCTCGGATGCCAACAAATTGAGGACTTCCATCGTCATTGATCGTCGAGTAGAAGAACTCAAACATTCGGTTGTTGTCCGTTCGAGCAATTTCCGTAATGCACTGGACGGTGAGCTCACTCGGCTTATCGTCATCGTCCAGAATGCTAGTCTGGAGAAGCGTCCGGCCGCTGAACTCGCCAGCGTTGGCCTTCATGTATTCCCTCTCGCGTTCCATGTACATCGGAATGACATCGAAAGCGATGATGCCACTCTGGTCGAGAAATGAATACAATGGAACGCCCCTCTCTTTGTCCTGGGGGCGATTCTGTGCTCCGACGGCAGTCGAGGAGGGATACTCCTTAGTTTGCGTCAGCACTCGGAACAGCAGCTTACGCACCAAACTGATCATGCCTGCGTCCGGAATCCTGGCAGCAGGAATGTTTTGTGCGTCATCGATGAGCAATCGGCTGCATGACACTGATGTTCCGCCGATAGATCGGTATGTCGCCTCCTTGGCATTGTATGCTCGGACAGCTTCATGGATATCGCGGCAATCCTCATAAGATTCCGGTCGGAGGAAAGAATCGTGTTCTCCTTTAAGCGGTTTCTTGTGAAGCGCCGTATCCAAGTACACTGTCTGATTCGAGGACAGCATTGCAAATCGGCGTCTCGAATACTTGCGCTGCTCGTCAGTCGGTGGGAGACAGGTCGCAGAGACCAGTCGACCATGGACGGAGTCATCGATGCCCATGTCGAGTCCCGGAACGACGAAATCTGGCAGTGCAATCGGGACAGACGTCATTTCATACTGTACGATCGGCGCAATGGAGTCAATACCCCTTTCGGGCATCTGATCAGGGCGATGAATCGTTGTCGCCTTGATACCAGGGCCCTCGATCCGGCAGTTTCTCGGATCATTTGCCGCCTGATCGGCTGTGGTGCTGGCCGGATCAATATCGATTTCCGGTCCGCTAGCACCTGAAAGCACGGCACTCTGAGCAGGCATGATATTCGGAGGACTGGAACGCACGCCGGTTTCCGGAGGGTTCTCAGCGGTTCGGGCAGCTGGTGGCGGGGCCTTGCCGGGGACCTCGTCTCGCAGCTCCTCTCCGCCACCCATATCAGCGTCCTCCTCGGGTTTCTGCTCGGGCAACTGATCGGCCGTGTCATCATCCATCTTGGTGTCATCGTCATCCTCCTTTGCACTCTCTTCGGACGCCCTTGGAGGTGCTGCCGCTGTAGGCGGAGGAGGAGGAGCCATGCTTGGCGGGGGCGGTGGTGCTGTGCGCACAGAAGCGGCACTGGCCTGGTCGGTGGACGGAAGATCGTTGTCCGCCGCGCCTTCGCCCTGACTACTCAGAGCGCCTGAGGCGTCACTGCGACGCGAGGAGGATGCAGCAATAGATCGAGCATGCCTCTGGAACTCGTTCGCAATGAAACCTGCAGTGTTTCGCAGCTGTACCGCAACACTGCGGTGGAGCTGTGACAATCTGTCATCCCCAGTTCGGCCAATAGTGCCATAGCTCAAATCATCGGTGAGCCCCATTAGGCTCTGCACCGGGTCTTCGTCCGGTTTGCGGAACTCGGTCACTCGTCGCTGCATGGCAAAGCCCGGCGGCAGCTTGAGGTCCTCTCTCGTCAACCTCGCCGCTGTGTTATTCACCAGGGCAACTCGCATGGACTGAATGACTTTTCCGGGGGTAGGCGCGATGAGGTCCGGCCAATCATCGGGGGTCGGAACCTCAAGGTCCTCTGGTTTGAATACCATCTGCTCAAAGGACATCGCACCCATGCCACGGTGTCGGATGGCAATCTGTAACGACTGGTACGTGTTGAGAAGCGATCGAGCCATACCATACGTCGACGGAATGTGCGGATGGAACACAGGGAGGGTTGACATGCTTGCAACCACTGCATCCAGGTTGGAAATGATCGCACCAACCTTAGCTTCAAGCTCCCCCCTGTTTCCATACTCTGGAGTCCATCGTGCATCGATGGCAGACACAGTCTCACCAGTGTCTCGGTTGATGAGCACAGGCGTGAATCGGTCGCTGGCCATCTCCCTGATGAGATTGCTGTTCGATTCAACCCGACGTCTGCCTTGAGCCAGTCGGTTCGTGACAGCGTCAAGCGCATAGTCACCCGGGGGATACAAGGCACCCTGAAACACATTGTCATCGCTCATGTTCGGGTCCAAGACCTTGGCTAGCCCATCGGCAATGGATCGAAGATGTTCGGCATTTTCAACACCGGCGGCGCCCTTCGCCACTTCAGCGATATGCGCTTTAATTGCAGCAGCTTGCTCGCGGCGAGCTTCAGCTTTACTGACTTGGCTCTCGAAGTGCGCATAAGCTTGTCGATTGTCGGCGGTGACCCCCGCGGCTTCCTCGCCACCAACCGGCTTCGGCTTCTTCATCGTAGAGAGAGGAATCGAGGGCACGGCAGGCGGTCGTGCAGCGTCCCGATTGGCAGCGACAGTTCGCTCGGCATCTCGAGGAGTGGGCATTTTCGCGAATTCCTCAGTCATTCCTTCGAGAAGCCCATTGAATTCCTCATCGGACTCCTCCTTTTTGACTGCGGGCATCGCCGCGTCACCATCCCCTTGCTGATCGTTCTCACCAGAACTGCTGCCAGATTCTTCATCATTCATGGCAGTCGGAGCAAGGCCAGGCGACACTGGCATTGCCTCGCCAGGCACGGGAGTAGCCGGAAGCTCGATCGGATCCGGATGACGAACGCCCGGTAGATCCGCCAATGTCCCCTGTTCCTGTTTGATCGGATTCCCGGGAGCGGTCGGACCCACGTCGTCAGGCATATCGTCGTCGTCGTCATCATCGAACCCAAGCCGAGTCATATCGACAGTCTCTGCGGCTTGATGATCGGCGCCGCGATCTGCACCATCGATGATGTCCTGCACAGTGGAGTGCACAATGGCCTTCACCGCGCCCGTCGAGACCTCTTCCGGGACTGGGGTTCGTGCCCACATCTTCTCGGCAGCGATCTCATATTCCCGGCGGGTCCCGTAAGACGGAAACCGTGCGAGAGCTGCTAGAGTGAACATCGAGCAAATGCGGGTACACAGGACCCCAATCGTCTTCGACTCATGCATAATATGATATCCCTTCAGGTATGGCAGACCTTCCAGGATAGCGTCAAACGATAGGGTAAGGAGGTTAGACCTCCTGATCGCGTCCCAGATCGATCTCATCTCCTCTCTGTATTTCTCGAAGAGAGGGCCAGGGAGAGTCGGAAGATATATCATGCTCGGCGACACCGGACCGCAAAGGGACACCGATCCGTAGATCGTGTTGAACTTCTCGAGAGCATCCCGGGCGGTCGTTTTGGCATATTGAGATCGTGCCATATCGATGTCGCCAGTTAGCTTGTTCCATCCCTGGTCTATCTTCCACAGATCTTGTCCTCGCCAAAGGATGAGGACGTGCACATTCGAAGGCGGGATAGAGGTCTCGCTCTGCATCATCGCGAGAGTGTCGACCATATCCTTGAGCTTGTTGTCCTCGCCACATGCCTGCACGCGCACGTCGGAATCAGGGAACCCAAAGTCCCTCAGCGCGTTCTTCAGATGGGCGTTCATTTCACCATCGTGCCATGATTTGGTAGATTTGAAGGACAGCAGGCCATCGTGCATAACAACGAATTTCTGCGGTTTGCTGGGCACCGCCGGCTTGATCGTTGGCGGTGCACCTCCAAATGCTATCGTGGAGGCCATGGTCGTGACCGTTCTGATCCCATGGATCGATACTGCCACAAGTGCATCGGCCGGGCTCCAGATCGGTGCACTAACAATATCCGTCGTTCCTTCTTCGGTGTACGGGATATTCTTGAGGCTCTTTGCGGGCGTGTAGCCGAAGTTCCCGAGCATGACGCCGTATGCCTTTCGGTAGTGTCTGCACCATGCCTCCCATTCCTTGGAGGGTCCTCCGACAATTGTCTCTAGCCTTGCAGGCTTTGGCAAACCTTGGCTCCCTTCCTCTCCCATGATGGGTGCCCGAAGCTGAAAGAATGGGGCAAGCTCAAATCGGTAGCTAGAGGATTGAAGTTCAGATAGCAAGGCATACCTACCACCGACAGTGGCGTTTTCACTGGTCCCATAAGAGTCAGGCATCCAGTGGTTGCGGCGAAGCACCGCCGGGTTGACAGTGACCCGCTCCGTCGCCTCACGTCCACCCCCCGCAGCCTGATCGTCAGCCGCGGTCGCTCCAGATTGTTCTGTCTCGGTAGAAGCAACCTTTTGAGCATCGTTGCCCCCCTGAATCTTGAGGTCGGCAAACTCGACGCTATCGCGAGCGATGCTTTCTCCCAGCAGCTTCAGAATGCGAGGATCAATCGGGCTCGCCTCCATCCACGGGTGCCAGGCCACGGCTTTCGTCCCGTCGGCACTGAGGAATCGGTGACCATGGATGACATAGTGCGGAGAGGTAGAGACCCCTTGCTCGCGGTCATCCAGGAGGCGGAAGGGCCTGAACGCGATCCCGCACAGCTCGAGGAATCTAGTTCCGACTCGGATCTGCTTCTGGGAACCTCCCAGCTTCTTTGTCGTGCGACCGTGGGTGTTCACCACAGTCCGGGAGACACAGATCATCACTTGAAACCAGTATCCTCCACCGAGGTATGTGCCAGACGCGTAGCTACCGGCAGCCTCGGAAGCGTTTCCAGTCACCCAGACGCAGGGTTCGTGACTTCCATGATCGTCCGTCACGTAATCCTCCCCGAACAGGCCTCCGTGCGCAAGAATCGACCAGAGATATCGGAGGTTCGTTCCGTGAAGGAACGTTTCCTGAGGATCGTATATGTCCGAATTCATCGCGGGGACATACACCCATCCATCAGTCGGGCGGATGGTAGTCTGCCCCGCACCGTCCTCATAGGTCATAGGGGTGCTGGCTCCCCAGTTGAGCGTATCATCGATACTAACACATCGGCCGGGGTAGGTCTCAACCATCGCTTTCATGAACGAGACCCACCCGCGCATCAACGGGTTATTCTCATCGTCGTCTTCGTTGCGGAAGGCGGCCACCTCCCCGATCCCGTTCGCATCCACGGCAGGGAGATCGTAGCCGTGTTCCTTGCGATCGTTATCGAGGTGAGTCGCTTGCTCTTTCAAAGAGTCCAGCGTGGGAAATCGGTTAAGAGCCTTGAGTGCCAGAAATGTGCCAGGGATGAAGGATAGCGTCGGCCTGAGCTGTAGAAATCCCTTGAAGAACTTCACAGCTTCAGCCGGGCTGATCACCTCCCTTGACAACTCAATGGGCGACAGCCTGGTGAGGTCGTTGTGTTTGATACTCGTGTCGGTCCTCAACCATCGCTGTTCAGCAGTCGAACTGCTATATCCCATGAGATTTCGGTTCCAGCTCGCAAGAGGCGACGGGATGTAGCAGGTTCCCATGAGCTGGAGCGTATCGTTGCTCAGCATATCTCGGGATCCCTTGAAGCTTTGCGCTTGGAAAAGCATACAGTGGCGAGCCAGCGCCATCGAAAGGTCCATTTTCTCGCGGACCCCCGCGGCGTCACCGGATAGCGTCGCCACTCGGGAAAATGCAAGAGCGCACATCACCCTGTATCGGTCGATGAAGTCCATAAACTCTTGGGGGTACTGCTTCCTCTGCTTATCCGCAAGCGGATGAGTAGTGAGAAGGAAGGAGTCAACCAGCTGGTGCAGCTTAAGATCGTACCCAGAGTTGCATGTCAGCTGCTCGAGGCGTTGCCAGATTGATGCCTGTGGGATCTCTTGAATCCCAATCTTCAGCATCATCGTCTTCATCTTCAATCCTATCGGAATGTCCTCGGAGCGCTTTCCACCCCCTGTAGACTCGTCTCTCGGGGTCTGAATCGGGACAGGGACTTCATCGGTACCCATGTTGGAATCATCCTGCTCCGTGGGAATCGGCGGAACAGGAGGCCTTTCCGTAGTCGGTGCGATCGGACCGCTCGGAAGGCCTTCCCTGCATAGCGAGGGAGACTTCGGCTGGGGTGATCGGGCAGCCGGTGCCTTGGCAGCAGCCTTCTTCGGTGGCTGCTTGTTCTTTCCTACCATCGATCAGCAGCGGCGGCAGCGCGGGGAAGTTCGCAGCCCGTGGCAGCTACAACCTGTCTTAGCAGGGAGCGCAAGTGGGCTATAAACAGGGTCGTAGTAGAGGTGGTCTGTGATGGTCGGTTGATGAAGGTGATCTGTGATCATCGTCCCTAGAGCTCCTTACCAAGCTGTAGCCAAGTGTGAGTGTGCAAGTGTGTGTGTGTGTGAACATGGCCTTGGCGTCTTTGTTTAAGCAATCGGCAACGCGGATTGCTGTGAGCCAAAGATTGCAGAATTCATGAAATGTTCAAGCACAGTCCACAATGCAAGTCGGAGCTCCCTCGGGTCAGCCCTCTTGGCTTTCTTGTGATTGCATGCAAATCGTGACATGAAGACGGGCCCAAACCGGGCGGGCATGAAAATCTCACACATCCATGCATGCTGGGAACATCGACCAGAGGAGCACGAGCACAGTTTAACAGGGCACAGCTCATGCGACTCAGACCATCGTCGTATATACTCCCTACCCCACAACGGGTTCCCTTTCGGTAGCACGAGGAACACAGGGATTCCGGATGAGCGGGCAGCGGAAGCATACCCGAGTAATTTCCTGGCTTCCCATCCTTTTTCCTTTAGGTCGCCCCTCATTTCTTTCCAACCCCTGTTCTTGAAACCAGCTTCTCTTTTATTAACGGTGCCAGCAATCGGAACAGTGACAATACATACCGCAGGCGTAGGCGGAACCCTGATGTTCGAAATAGCAATCCCTTTTGCATTATCATCGAGACTGAGATTGATACTTCGAGCATGAGGGAATCGGATTATGCCTTCGCCTCCGATATGAATACATTTTACTGCTGCTCCGAATTGGTGAGCATCATCGATTGAAACACCCCCCTGACGAGACATGTCGATGATGAAATCGTTGAAGGGGCTGTGGCCGGTTTCAAGATGTACCCCCCTGGTTGGACAGACAGAGGGGAGAGCAGGGAGAGCGGGAGCGGCAGACAGCATACCGGAGGAAATAAGAGTACCCTTACGAAAATGACCAATAGACATAAGGTTGCGGCCCCACACCTTAGCATCAGTGCAGGCCTTGGTCAGAATATCACCAGCCTCGAATTGAGAGGGACACGTCACGAATAGAAAATCCCCAGCGTGATAACGCTCGTTCAAAGCAGAGATATCGATGCGCTGGGTACGAGACATATGACGCATGTTCGGATTGTGACCAGTGATAACGACACGAATAGCGGCTTCATTGTCCTCCATGACCCGCAATTGGAAACGGCGGCCCATCATATACTCCCACATAGACAGAGCAGGCAGGCCCAATTTATACACAGCGTGGTCAAGAGAGACAATTTCGGCCTCGGGGGTAGACTTCGACACAGAAGTTTGCTTCTTGGACAAAGCATTAAGCGGCATAAAGCTACGCGGCCCAAGAAGACACATAAAGACACCAGAGGTGCTCTTGGAATCGGTACGGTCACCCGCAAGATCGGCATCGCAGTAGAGCACAAGCTCCAGCATCTCGGGTGCATCACCAATCCACCCATACAAATTGAGATCGAGGGTAGAATTGATATAGCACACCAGTCGATGGAGCTTCTTATCACATAAGCCATCCCACTTGGTGATGAGACTGGCAAGTGCCTGCACAGGACGAATCAAATCGTATCGCCCCATGCGAGCACCATACAGGATTTTCATCAGGACGGCGGCTGCACAATCGCCGAGAATGCCTTTACCAGGAGGGACAGGCGTGTCAACGGGATGGCCCATCAGGCGGTTTACAGCAGGGCGATCCGGATTGGTATCGAACTCCGGTCGCGATTCATCGAGGAACGGCGTGTCAGCCGACCGCAAAGTGGCTTTATACTTAGGACCACAGAGCTCAACATAGCGAGAAACGCATTGTTCCATGAAGGACCGCATATCGTATTTGATCATTCGAATCTCTCGAGGACCAACAGAGCCCTGTGCGACACTGGTACCTCGATCGCCAAAAGTCAGCTCGGGAAACGCCTTCTTGGGTTCCTCGAAGCGCGTCCAATAGGATCGCGGATCAAAGGCACTAGGAACAACGTGGGAGAAGGTAACATGCTCGCATCCCAAATAACGCTTGATGCTCGAGGGCGGCTCCAATTTAATCTTTGATGCCATGAGTTCCCACCCTTTGGCCAGGTTGGCCTTTGGTCCACTGAGTTTGAAGTCATCGACGTAGACCACGAGCATAAGATTAAGTTTGGGATGACGAAACACACTCTTCCAGTCGGGACATTGCTCGAATCCAACGGAACGTAGAGCCTTCTCACAGTGCTGTTCCCAGAAACCACCGGCATCCGGGTGCCCATAAAGAGCCAACACGAGGCGTACGACCGGATCGTGATATTTGCCATGCCATTCGGGCAACCAACGATCCTTGGGCAAACGGACCCACGTGGCCGGTCCACCAAGCTTCGCCTGGGTATATGCAGATTCGCCATCGGCAACCTGTATTTCATGACCAGGAAGAAGGCCGAAAGCATCGGCGGCCTTTCCAGCTTCCATGGTCGCCGGGCAAGATGTGATCTCGGAGAAAATAGCCCAATTATTGCCCTCGTCTTTGACATGACATCCTTCAAACACCACGCGACCCTTAAACTTGCGATTAGGGTCGGACTCCGGAAGTTCGGAGTTCTTCTCAACGCATATATCGAAGATACGGCCAACATGGGCTGTTTCCCCCTTCGCCACAGCCTCATTAGATACATCGCGCCACTCACGCACGGATGCGTAGTCCCAACACCCTTGGTTGATGAGCTTATTCCACTCTTTATCAAGGGCGGCTTTCGCCTTGGGGTTGACGGCACGTTCCTTTCGATCAACGGGCCGTGCTACACACGCACTATAGAAGAAGACCGATGAATCGGGAGATCGGTGTGAATGAGGATCAGGGCGAACAGGCATTGCAGGCGCTGCATCAACAGCTTGACCGTCATCTGGTGGTTCAACCGGTGCAGAAACATCACCTTCCACATCTTCTGCGGTGAAATCGAGTTCAACCGCTGCCAACACGGAAGTGTAGAATTGGACTACCGCAACGTCTTGTCCAGGCTCGACTATGACATCGTTGTCAGTAGGATTGAAGACGTCAACACCGGACTGAGTTGCCCCTTCATTATATGTGTACATGGCCGGGCAAACATCGAGGCCACTGCCGCGGAGCGGTTGAAGACGGGCGGACATACCACCCGGGGGCTCAAACTCAAGATCCGTAACGACACAGACGCGAGATTTGGCAGGCACGACAGTACGGCTCTTTGCACGCAATGCGTGTCCATAATAGCCATTCGCAGTCTGCACGCGGCGCCCCGTGTTTTCGGTGTTCGGCACACGGGTTCGAACTTTAACCTGCGTTTTGGCGGAAGAACCGATAACGAAGACCGTCTTTCCTGTCCATCGACACGGCAGAGATCGAGTGTCGGAGGATCTCCATGAGTCCTGCAAGGTGAACTCGGTACCGTCAGTCATGGCCATAGTCATCCTAACATCGGTCAATGTCGCAGGATCAACGGGACAATCTTTGACGGAAGTAGGGTTGAAGCGCGCTCGGCGTTCGATCACATGAAATTGGGTGATCGTGCCAGCTGCGACATCGTGATACCAGTAATCCTTGTCATGCCGTTCGGCACCCGATTCATAATCTGAATCATAAGTGATGTCAACAGGAACGGCATCGCGAGAATCCTCTCGGGACATGGCATGAGATTCAGCTTCTCGGCGCTCAGCCTCTACATATCCCTCCCGTTCGGCGCGGTTCATGCTGCGCCAGGATTCTGAGTCGATAGAATTCGGTTTTCGCGACCCTTTATATGCACGCTCGGAACGCGGCACACTCTGACGATATGGCAAACCCCCCTCGCCCTCCAGGATCTCTGACCCGTGGTAAGGGGGTAACTTCTTCTTGGGTGGGGCGTAGCCGTCATCATAAAATTCGACAGTGCCGGTCCAGAGCTGCATGAGTCTTGTCTTGCCGAAGGCATACCCGGTCTCATAGATCGTAACCGGGCTTTTGTCCTTGTATTGGACATGTGATATGCGCACCGTGCTCAGCTTCCATGGATCAGGCGACTCCCCAATGGAACCGGGAGTCTTACTGGGATGAACCATCGCTTTTCTTGGAACAACAACGTGATAAGTCCACTTATGCACAGACGGATCATACTCCCAGTAGTCAGCACCTCCTCCATGAGAGGACTCTGCTCGTAATTCAGCCTCGCGAGCCTGGCGAATGTCTTCATCGGTCATTCGCGTTGACTCATCAAGGGCGAAGATTTCATCGATATCTTCGAGATCGAGCATATCGGAGGCGTCAAGACGCTCACTCGGCTTTGGCACATTCGAATGCATCGCGGGATCGTTGATGCACACTGATCGTGTCTGTTTATCGTACACAGCCAGCATCGGGAATGTCCATTGCTCCTTGGGTGAGCAGTATATCTTCTTGACCTGATGGACGCTTGCACGTAATGCGTCGCGTTTGAAGTCTTCAAGGTCAGCGACTATATAGTCACCGTCCCACTTGCCCCCATTCTCGAAGTGGTAACCCAGAAATATGCCGGGTTTGCTCGTGGGAGAGAACTTACTGGGGCGCTGGTAGGATGATAGGCGTTGATCGATGTCGGGTCCTTGAAGGGATCCAGATCGATCGCCATCTCCATCGTCAATCCACTCGAGATAACCATCATCATCGAATCCAACTTCGATTTCGACCAATCCATCATCTCCAGGTGCAGGTACGGCATATTCCTCACCATCGCCAAGCACGACTTCATCTTTCTGGCTACGCCGGGTTTGTTTCCGTGCCGGCGTGGGATAGAAGTCCACAAGACATCCGAATGGGAGAATCTGACCGTCAAATTCGGCGCCATCAAATCGTAGCGAATACGCACTTTGTCCTTCGCGTAACTCGATGTTGCGAGCATGACAGAAGTGCTTACACGCATAAGGCCAGAATTTGGCGCTCAGGCCCGCTTGTCGAAGCGCCACTCGTGCGCCATGAAGGACAAGCTTTACTTTGCTCTCGGCAATGGCATTGGTGCGAGGCATGCCAGGAGTGGAATGTTTTACAGAGATGCCGACCCTTTTGCAGGTCGATATGAACTCACGGGCTTTATCACAGTAGATTTCCCGGATCGCAGAAGGTGCACACCTTCTCTCCACATCCATGGAGAACGAGTTCACATCATGAAGATCGCCGAAGACCTGCTGGAACGCTCGAAGCGTGTCGGCATTCGTCCTCCCTTTGACGGGAACACTCTCCAACCACTCAGTTGCTAGATCATAGAAGACCACAGCATCTGTTTCCCCATTATTCCCGCGATTGCCAAGCCCGTGCAACACCATAGTATCGATGGTGACGTGCTCGCCAAATTTCTCAAACCCTTTATCGCGTGGTGAGTCTTGGCGAAATGACTTAACGTTTTCCATCTTTGCACGTTGGCATGCATCGCAGTAGGGATTCTTAGGTAGATGGGTCATGAGGTGATGAATGGACTTAGCCTCCTCCCTCAGATCGCGCGCCCTCGGTTCATCGGGCGGCGACTGATGCTTGGGTTTGTCGGGCACCTTCTTGATATCGTCAGATGCACCTTTCTGGTCACCTTTAGCACCGGGCATATCAAGATCGAGCTCTCCGATGTCGTCCAGCTCGCCCACAGGTTCTTCACCCGCAGCCACGATTTTCTCGTGAATAATGATCGGTGCTGGGAGTGCCGGATACACACGAGGGAGATCAGGTCGACCCGCCACTACCTCGGTTTCGCTCGGAGCGAGGTAGGGAATGTTATTGATAACATCAATCTTGAGTTGTCTCCCTTTGGGATCAAAGAATATCGGATCGCAAAATGGTTCCCAGATAAATCGGTATCCAAGCTCCTTGCATCGCTTCCCTAGGGAAAGAAGACTTGGAGTGCTTTCCAGCACATATGCTTCAATCAGCTCATCAAGGCCGTCAATGCGCAGATGCGCAACACCTTTGGTGTTAGTCTTTCCATTGGCGGTCCTAAGGCTGATCTTCGCATTCTGAACTATCAGATCCCTTTCCTCGCGGGACAGATCACCGAGACCAATAAGGTCTATACCGCAACCGGAATCGAGCATAAGTCTCCGGACCCTCTTAATAGACTTGACAGCAGCAGCAAAGACCTCGCAAGCGCTCCGCTGAGAAAGCGTGAGCTCAAGAACACAAGCATCATTTCCTAGCGTTTTGGCATCAACGTCATCGAGCAAAACCTGCTCTCTCCAAAGCACAGCCTTCATGTGTGCCCTTCGCCTCTCGCGAGCACTATTCAGACCACGGATATCTTCCGGCCACGAATAGTTCAAATTCCTCTCGCGATTGACAGGACCGAAGTTTGGCTCCGGGAAAGAAGACTCTATCACGCGGGTCTCAGTATTCCCAAACGATACTGTCTTCCGCTTGACTGACGGACATGCCATATCGAATGATGCAACACAAGCGAAGGCGAAGTCTCCAAAGGAGGATGCTGTCATTGCCTGAGGGTTGCGGCACGCCCCTTTCAAAAATCCGAGGGCGTGGGCGCCGGGCTGTCGACCCGCCTTGACATCGGCGCGGGCTCAGCAGGCGCAGGAGCGGCAGCAGGAGTGCTCTCAGCTGGGGCACCCGGCTTCACGTGCTTGTAAGGACACTTGTCACCTCTCGAGCAAGTGCCTCGTGCAAAATAGAAGCAGATACCAGACTCCTTTGAAATCGGTGATTGCGACCGAGGCGGGAAACCCTTCGGCGAGGAGCTTCTTCCCTTCAGGTTGTGGGAGAACTTACATCCGCTTCCTCGCGTGCATCTACCTTTCTTGAAATCGTAGCAGATTTCCCGTCCTCGCGGGGATCGCGACATCGGGCGAGTCGGTGCGGGAGCTGCTCGTCCCGGACTGCGGGAATATCGCCTTGGCGACCCGCGTCGCGGGGAGGATCGTCTGGGTGACGAGCGCCTCGGCGAGCTCCTTCGGTACGGACTCCCTTTCCTGGAGTCACGACGCCCAGGCGATCTTGACCCCCTTTGACCTCGGGATGAAGATCTGCGCGGGCTGCCGTACGCAGGTGCAGCGTATCGTCTCTGCGCAGAAGTAGACCTCGTAGCGGTGTACATCTTCTCCTGATTGCGTCGTCGGCGCCAAGTTGTAATCGCATTGACGCAGACAGTTCGCAGGTATGCGTAGTTCCGTACGGATACGTCTCTGTCCCATAGCTGCATGTCGAGCTCGAGACAGCGGAACTCACGCACCTGCTCATAAAAGAGGGCGCAGAGAACAGGGTCTTCGGGGCGATCGACGGAGATACCAGCGAGAACATGATCCCACCGATTGGAGAAGGCTTCCAGCCTTTCCTGCTCGGATCCATGAGTAAACCGATCAATCGTGGTCTTCATTAGGTCAACGAGCTTGAAAGTCGAATCGCCGGTAACATGTGGCCGAAGGAAATCATACAATAGCCACAAGATCTGCCTACTTCCGAGTCGCCGGTTTATCGTATGCATGCGCTCGGTCTCGGTCTGGATCTTATTCTTCAGTGCAATAGATCGGACGCACTCACGGAAAGCAGAGTTGCACTCATTTTCAAGCATTCCGTATTTGCACTCATCAAGGAGATCCTCATATCGTGTACCATCGGGAATCTCAACCCACGAGAGTGCGTATCCGGGATCGTATGCGAATGCATTTGCAACTCGCTCCTTCATGTCGACGATCCAGCGCCGCAGCTGAGCAGGCTCCGGCTCGGGATCGAGTCGGAAGGACTTGCATTTCGCCTTCTTAGCCTCGCTCAGCGATCCATCGCCCTTGGGTCCACCGAATCCCGTATCGTTGGGACCGGGCGGATTCCCAGTCTGTCTCTCAAGACACACGAGACAGATTCTCAAAGGATCTCGGCAACATCCATTGCAACACGAGAATCGGCAAGATATGCACGATCGCCGCACGGTGGTTGGGAAAGTTCCGGTGCAGCGCTCGCACTGGAAAGTATCATTCCCACTCGGCCGGCCGGAGCGCCTGATGCTAGGCGGATCAAGTCCACCATCAGGCGGGCCATTCCCGTCAGGAGGGCCACCACCACCGGGCGGGCCACTGGGCGGGCCACTGGGTGGTCCACCACCGCCACCAGGGCCGAAACCGGACCCATGGTGTCCATGTCCACCAAAACCACCACCATATGCACCCCCGTTATCGTTGGGGCCACCACCACCGAAAGGACCACCGTCACCGCCATGCGCGGGCGGCGGTCCGCCTAATCCGGATGGCGCAGCACTGGGTGCAGGTGCGGATGTTCTAGCATTAAAGGTGGGCATCGGAGGCATAGTCCATCCATCGACATCATCAGTGGCAGCAGGTCGCAGTGTCCCAGCGACGCTTGCGTTCGGTGCTAGCGTGAAGGTACCAGTCTCGCTTTGGAGAACAGGTGCACCAGAACCGCTGCCAATGAGATTGGATCGGCCAAGCATTGCATCATACCATCTTGAAGGTCCCTTTCCTGCCGGAACAGTTCGCGTATCATATGAGATCTGGCACGGAAATGTAGGGCTCCGCTTGGGCTCTGGAGCAAATCTCTGGGTTTCAGGGTCATAGCGGACGCCACTGCGGATGGCCAGATCATCATCGACAGGGAAGGGTCTGACACTCGGAGCTTGGCCGGATGTCGTTCCGGCGGCATTTGTGGACGGAACGGTCGGAATCGGAGATCTCCCTGAAAAAGAGGCAGACGTTTGGCCATAATTTTGTCGGACGGGCTCAACAGGATTATTTTGCCCGCGACTTTCAGGAGGATGATCATCAGCGACCCGTTGCTGCGCGCGCCTCAGAATGTCATCAAGATTGATGCCACTCGTCTGAGAGTGCACCGTTGACGCCTTTTCAGCAGGCGCAGCATTGCATCCCGGCGGAGAGCCATGATCAATCGGACCCAACAAAGAAGATCTCGGAATGGCTGTAGTCGGTCCGCCAGGGAATAGAGCACCAGGAACTGGCGGCAAGTCCGCGGGACGTGGGATATCCCCATCATGGTCACTGATGTCGAAGAACTGCGTCCGTTCCGGACGCGAAGGTGTCGACATGTCAGAACCACCCCTACGGACATGAGAACTCTCAAGATGCTGAATGCGAGCAGTGAGCTGATCGATGAGCACACGGTTACTCTCCTTATGATCGTAGAGAGCACGGCTCATTTCGGTTCTAATGACCTCGATACGGTGAGTAGCATTCTGCTCAACCGTAGCGATACGCGCCTCAGCATTTGAGATATGATCTGAATTTGCTGCAGCGCATCAGGGTAATGCTTGATGTGGCGGATCGTCTCAGCAAGCTGCATGGATAGTGATCCAGCCCGCTTTTCGTTGAACTGATGGATCCGCTCATCGAACTCAATAAGTCGATCGTTGATCGTCGAGGCGAGCTTCGCAAAATGATCATCAAGCGTTTCGTGATCAGAAATCCGCCTCTCGCGGAAAGAGTCCTGAAACCGCATGAACAGCTCACGCTCTTTCCTCAATTCGGCCTGAAGAAGCTCCCACATGTCTCGGATCTTGTTCTCAAGCGCTTCGGTGTCCGAGACGCCGTTCCTCAGTATATCGAGGTCGGCTTGGGCGTTGGTCACACCCTGCGCGATCGCCAGAATATCGGTGGCGATGCGCGCGGATGCTTCCGACCCAATGGCTTCATCGACCAGGGCCCTGACAGCACAGGGTCCGGTATGCCACCCGCCGTTATCGATGGCGGGGGCGGCACCACCATGACCCACCGCGGTAATCGTTGCGGCGGAATCATGGGGTGCACCCGGATGCTCGCTCATGGGCTCGTCGGGGAGCGAAGCTCCACCGCGGCCAGCCACCGGCCCGTAGGAATCGGGGCGCGGTGGGCGGAAGGACGCCGGGTCCGAAATCGGTGGACCACGGCCGTCCGGCCCGGACCCAAAAAGGGCCCGAGCGCCCTCTGGATCCCCGCGAAGGGACAGAGGACAAGCTGAAAGATCGGTCGGAAGAAGGGTAGGTGCGGAAGCAGCAGGAGCAGCGGACGCAGAAAAGGCAGGCAACAAAGGCAAAGCACGAGCGGTGGCAGAAGCAGGCAGCATGCCGGCGGGCATCGTGCCAGGCGTTGCGAAAAGCAGCAGCAGCAGAGCATGGCAAAGGCGGCGCATGGTGCTGAGCTCTCTGATCGTCCTCAGCAGGCGGCGAAGCAAGCAGCGAAGCAGAGCGAGCGAGCGAAGCGTGCGAGGCGGGCGCAGTGCAGCGAGATGCGTGGGCACTATCATCGGGCTCCACGACATCCCGAGCAACTGGCGTCACTAGTGAAGAACCGACAGTCGAGGGGACACGGGGAGAACCGATCGGAGTCGCCATTCTCTCGGTGGCGCGGCCAATCACAAGTTCCGAACTTGGTCTGAGCCAGGAAAACGGTAGTGATCGGACGCTGATTGGATCAGGCGGTCCGAGTGCCAAGCAGCAGCAGCGAAGCAGCAATCCACAATCGGATGCGGAGGCCCTACGGCTGATAACCTCTGAAAAGCGGAGGATTCCACTCAACTCCCGGTCACAAAGCCCAAGGCAACCAATCGTAGATTAAAGGCAAAGCAGCAAAGCAGAGCAAGGATGATCAGAGATTAAAACCGTAAGTTTGACGCACAGCGAAAAGACAACACCAGAACCCCCAGGCTCTAGCGGATCTTTTGCTGGGACTCGCGCATGCGGTCCTTGAGCAGTCAAGCTGCGTAGTGAGACAAAGTTGGCATGAATCCTAACCAAGACACAGAAGCACATGTACGCATGTCCGTGACAAATCACAATCTGTATTTGCGTCAAGAACTGCACCTGCGGGAACGACTCGATGCTCATCCGTCTGTGGATCATCCGGCTCACTGCCTGGCTGTGCGGATGCCGCTGAAGACGCGGCATTCGGTGTCGCTGGCGGTGTCACATTCAAGATTGCAGCTCGCGATCTGGGCGTGTGCCCCGCAAGTGGGTCGTTGCTCGATTCGTCATCGGTTTGTTCTTCGCCATCGTCGTCTTCGAAGGGATTTGCGGGCACTTCGGGATGCATAAGGCATAAGGAAGGGTTTGAGGGCTGGCGTGTCGGCCCCAACGGGAATAAACCACCTAGCAACCCGACTAGTCAACCTATCCAATCCACTGAAGACTGGGCCTAAACCTGAAGGCATTGGTGCTCCACAGCAGTGCATGAGCACAATCGTCACTCCAATGACACACATTGTCACGATGAACACCAAGAATGACACACCTGAGTCATCAGCAGTGGCCTCACTTGCATCATCAGACTGAACTCCATGGTCCGAGCTGTGCTCATCATGAGCCGTAGCCACATTAATCAGCTGAACCAGCAAAGCCATCATTTGCATGACATCAGTGTTGCCACCTCTCCGACGAGGGATGCTTCTCAAGAACTGCTTTGCCTGAGCTTTCTGCTGGAGCTCTCATTGTACTCCTTTTCCCCAACTTTGTTGAATCCATCCTCAGCACTGCGGATTCCAAGCATGTGGCGCAAGCAAAAGATGCGACGTCGACTAAGTCGTGCCTAAGTCGGCTACGTTGACGTCGGTCCCGACTGGATGCAAAGCAGCTCGATGGAAACGATTGATGAAATCTTGCAACCGCAGCAATCGTTTAGCAACGTGCCGAAGCTTGCCATATCCACGACGCGTGATTATCCCACGCGCTGCTGACGAATCTGTGAACAAGTGGACCTCAATCTCCTCTTGAAGCAAATGCTCTACGGTGGCTCTCAACAGGATCGAGTCACAGCATGCACTCACACACGACACCTATTCTGCTTCGGCAGAGCTCAATGCAATGCATGCCTGGCTCGCGGCGAACTGTGCAACAGCATTCCATCCAGTATCACATAGCCAGACGAAGTACTCTTTCGAGTTGCTCGATTGCCACTCCAATCTGAATCTGAAAACACTTCAATCAAGAACATGCTTGGTGTCAGACCGGGCAATCAACCCACATCCTTTGCCCTCCGTGTGCAAGCACGGGACAAGTTCACCAAGTGTCTCAGGCATCGCCAAGCTCCAATGGTTGGCTTCCCACTCGAACTGGCAAGTGTTTTGATTGCATACTGTGCAAACGGGAGGTCGGAAGCAGTGTAAATGCATTTCCGATAAAAAGCTGCCTGTTCCTCACTCAGCTCGGTCAACTGTGTCCACACGGCCAAAGTACCACCTGTCGGCAGCGGGGTCGGCTCTGGCTTCTGAGCAGCTACTCCAAGCAGCATTGCAAGAGTGTCAAGATGTCGCGGATTTGGGTGTACCCTCAAGAAGAGCATGCTTTCTCTTGAGGAAACTAATCTCACGACCAACTTGATCAAGCACTCAATTTTGCAATCATAATATCTTCCCTCAACCGACTAGGTCAGTCGACAAAGGCACGAGTCGGCACGAGTTGCTTCCAACAGCGAAAAAGTCATCCACATGGATCAATCCTCCTCCGATGTCTCCACATCTGGACTCTGGGCTTTGTGCTTTTGTATGCCCCGCCATGGCTTGCCCCGCCATCGACAATGGCCTTGCTTCCCGGTGGAATCCGGAAAAGTACTGGCGACTCGACGAGCGGTTCAATGGCAAGGCTCTCAACAAAGTGAGTTTGAAACGACTCAAACCAATCCTTAGCACCACATCTTTGCCCTGGAAGGTTCCGCAGGAGCTTGAAGAAAAGTGTTTCACCGTGGACCAAGACCGAAATCACTGTGTCAACTCGTTGCTCGACGGTGAGGTAAGCGTCAACAACATCGAGGAACAAAGCTGTCCACTCTTCTCCGCTGCACTGCTTTGCAAACAGCAATGCTGGAAGAACTTTTAGCAGAACGCTCGACGCAGCCGGAGCAAACACCTCATCACCAAGATCAGCGGATAGCCATCTGAACTCACGGGCTACAAGGCGCGCTCGCCTAAGGTAAGCGTCACCGGAACCTGTTGGCGTTATTTCCCCAACGAAACTTTCGTAAGCGCTAGTTTCAGGGAACTCAACTGCGCTGCAGTTAAACACTGTGCAGTAGCTCTCTTTTTCTCCTACCGGTCATGGGGGGTGAGTGCGGGCCCGATCTTCGGGCAACTCAACGAAGAAGATGACCAGTGGCATCTCTTGAAAAGATGACCACTGGTCACAGGTAAGGCGAACGACTCGTCCACCTTCTTTCAAGCCACTCGAAAGCCTTGCCCTCCCACCAGTCTCTGCTGGGGCCGTACACTAGCCAGGGTATCCTCCCGCCACCTCCCACTACACCTCCAGGGAGAACGTAGCAAGCCTAGCTTTAGCTAACTGGCTTCACACAGTAGCACGGACAACACGAACTTCTCTCTTTTTAGCGTTGTGGCGAAGTCCCGCGTTAGCCCGGAGAAAAACTCTAGCCTTCGGCTAGCTGATCTCCAGGGTGGGTAGGGTGGGCACTCGAAAATTGCCCCCCCTATTAGCAGGTGGCCTTTCAACACAATGGCCACGGGAAAGCTCACGTTCCTCCAGCCATGTGCCGACACTCTAGCAAACAGACAGCTTCCTTCTGTTTAGCTTCAGAGGAAAACCCCTTCGACGTTTTCTAGCGAAACACCTTCGATGTTTTAACGACAGGATACTAGCGCTAGCATACACGGTCGCACCTCGTCCCTCGGCACAAGTGCGTACACTAGCTAGCGTATCCTCCCGCCACCTCCCACTACACCTCCAGGGAGTACGTAGCAAGCCTAGCTTTAGCTAACTGGCTTCCACAGTAGCGCGGACAACACGAACTTCTCTCTTTTAGCAGGACGCTCTTCGAGTTCAGCGAACCCTCGGCTTGAGCAAGGAGTCGCCGGATCACTGGCATTGCTGTTCCTGGAACGCGTGGCATACGCCGGAGGATGACCTGGTTCTTGCATCGATTCTTTCGAATGGGCCCATCAAGCGTCTGGTACACAAAGGGTTCTTGAAGGTTACTAATGAGAGCGAGCGCGAGCGGCTGGATCTTGATGCCGTGGAAGCGTACGCACGAATCTGTGCCAGACAGGTGCTGAAAGTATTTCGCCGTCTGCCGTGGTGGATGTGATGAGACGCGTCTTCGGTGGGCATCGGAATTTCGCTCTCCCGGCTTCTTCTTGATTCGGTGGAAAGAAACGGCAGCGTCCGGATGTCGATTGCTCGCTGTGGGCGACGGCTACGGCTGGGATGCGTCTGTGCTCGTGTGGATCCTTGTGTGGAAAGTAAGCATAGTTGCAGAGGAGAGTTTGGCCGTCGACGACTCGCTGTGGGTTGCTCCGGTCGCGTGACTCCGATGCCGAACAAGAAAAAAAGCTTGGGAAGTTGCCGTCGGTTGCATTCCTGGCACCCCGTTTTTGTTTTCGTGCATTGTGTATTCTAAGTGGTGCGTTGTTGGTTGCCGCTGCAGGGGTGGGATGAGTTTAGGCTCGAGACGTTGGTTGATCCGGCGCGTGTGTCGGGAGGGCGCGTCCGTGATCACTCGCTGTGGGTGGCGCGGCACGCTTTTCGCATAGGGACGCATGACGAGCGGTGCGCTTGCAGCTGATCTCCCGGTGGTGCCTTGGTGCGAGCAGCACGAAGGCTTCATTGTGCAGGGCTGCGAAGTCTGCAAGGCCTGCGAGCAGGCGGTGGTGCAGCTGATGGAGAGCGGTCGCGAGCTGTTGCCGGCTCGCCATCCTCGGGTGCTATGGTGTCCACTGCATGCTCATCCAGAAGAACATTGTGTGACTTGCAACAGGTCCAAGATCTGGAGCGGCTGGTTCTCACGGGTGGGAGCGTTCCCGAGCGACGAATGCTGAACGTGCGGCAGTTGAGTGGAGATGTCCTCACGATTCCTATTTGCGTTGACTACACTCTGTATGCCGTGGCGCGCCAGCTTTGTATTCTTCGGGGCGTGAGGCATCACTGCGTGAGATTGTTCAGCTCGTTGCCAGAGCCGGAAGGAGATCCTGAGTGTTTGCCGGACATGGACTTCGCTCTTCATCACGAAGACCACCTGTTCGTGATCTTCGAGAGATAGCAGCGGTGGGTTGTAGCTTGCGCTCCTGCCGGAGGTGCTCGGTTCTGGTCGCGGAAGGGAATTGGCTGTGTCGCCGGACGAAGAGACAGCATCGCCGCGTACAAAGACGAAATGGCATGTTTGGGTGTGCGTCTGCCTGTGCGCGTGTCTGTGAGCGTTCGTCTGTGTCTGTGTGTGTGCGTATGTGTGTGTGTGTGTGTGCGTGTGTGAGTGCGAGTTGCAGTGTGGGTGTGTGCAAGTTGCACCGACAAAAGATGGTCGCTGCCAGGTGACTCGCAAGTCTGCATCTTCGCGTCGCGAAGGAAAGGCAGGATTGTCCGAGCATCTCTGTGTACGGTGCATCCTGTGCTAGACTCAATGCATCGTGGCAAGCGGCGCCCGACGGTTGGTATCCGATCGTCCGTAGCCTTGGCTCGGGTGCATGGTTTTCGTGTTCAGGTGTATGTTCCAAGCAAGGGCCATTCGTGTGACATGCAACATCAGATTCGTCAGTGTGTGTTGGGCTCGCACGCCTTTTTAGCGACTGGGTGACGCAGGAAGAGGTGCGCGTGACTGCTCGCCGCGGGCGGCACGACACGTTTTCGGAAATTCCGCAAATAGATTCCTGTGTATCACGCGAGTGTAGTTGTAATTGTGATGCATGTTCTTAGCCAGTGGAGGGTGTAATTAAGCAAGGGAAATAATGCGTGGTTGACTGCTCGCTGTGGGCGGCTCCACACGGTGGGGTAGATTTCATGTTCGGTGTGCGCGAACTTCCTATTGCCGCCATGACCTCTAGGATGCTTATCTGGAACTTTCAGATCGGACAGATACAAGACTGGTATCAGAATAAGCGGGAGAATAGGACCGTCGGCAAAGAGACCGAAAAGGCATACTGGCTGAGTTTGACCTTCGCCGACGGAGAGACGGTCACGGCTCCCATGATCTACCGCACCAAGGGTGCCGGACGAAATTGGTACGAGGTCAGTGGCTACCCTCTCGGCGTGAAGCTTTACAAATATGAGCCTACATGGGACATCAATCGCAAGGAGGCCGCCGTTTTGCACGGTATGCTGGCACCCAGGTGGGGAAATATATTCCTGCATGTTATGGTGTTGCAGTTCAACAGATCGAAGGCCGAGGCGGCTATGCTACTATATCCGTGGACGTGCTTCTGCAGCAGAAAGCCGGCGAGAGTCTGGAGCAGATGTTTGCCAGGATGACGAGCAGCAATCCGTCCGAGGAGGAGAAAGCGTACTTGAAGCACGTGGCCGCTTGCACGACGCAGATGTTTGTCGCTGCGCATGAATGTGGCATGCGCTGGCAGCAGGATATGCATTTCGGGAATCTGTCGTATTGTCTACGCACCAACCAGAGCTACTTGTTGGACATCGACGCGTGTGACCAGCTGCAACCGAAAAGTTTTTCTGAGGCTTGGGAGGAGATCAAGGTGAAACGTTGGTTGAAGAGGAGGAGGTCAATTCACACTCAAATTTTCCTCGACTACATGGAGCCTCTGATGCTGGGCGCATATCCGACGGTGCCGAGATCTCTTCCGAGCCCCGTTGTCACGATGGTACGTGCGTCGCAGGCCGGCGAGTCTCGACCGGTTTGCCCTAGGCAGCAATGCGTGTGTGATGGCAGGAGCCGTGCCGTTCGCGTGCTGTATTGTAGGGTGGGTCGTGCCGTTGCAGGTGCAGGAGTCTTCCGCGAGCTCGACGGTCGTCTGGTTCGCAAGATTGCATGCCGTGCGGCGAGATGGCGAAGATCGCATCGTGGCGATTCTCGGGGACGAGCGGGAAGTTCTGCTGCCTCCCGTTCGGTTGGAGAGGCGCGTGCCGCACGAAGCTGCGTCTCGAGCTCCTCGGCAACGAGTCGTTGTGTCGGCGTTCATTGCCATTTTATTTCTTTGTGTAATTCTGTGTGGTATGTTTTTGTTCTGGTCGGGAGCTCTTGTGCATCGTCCTGCAATTTGTGCTGGTCCCACTGTCGAGTTCTTGCTTGCTCGGCCAAGGCATTGTCAGAGTGAGCGTTGTCCCGTTGTACTATACAGTATTCAGCAATGCAACGTTGCGGCTGATGGAAAAATTCCAGCGGACGCCTTTGTTTCTGTAGCCCACTCGGTCCGTCGACTTCTCGCTGTGGGTCGCGACGGGCCGTTGCAGGGCAAAGGGAGCGAGACCGGATCCAAAAGTTTCGAAGTTTCGAGGAGGTGCAGTTGGAGTATCCCAGTGGTATTGAACGTTCAGCGCATCTTGTGCAGGTTCCTCTGCTCGACTCGTGGAGAACGGTGGTCTCTGCGTGGAGGCATCATCTTGTCTGAGAGTGTTTGATGTCGGATGAAAGCATTTCTGTCGCTCGTTGATGCAAAACAAAATACTGGGAAGTCACGACTGACGATTTGGCTTGCAGCACGACGTCCAGTTTCATGCCGAGGTGCACGTCGTAGGGGAGGGGTGCTAGTGTGACGCATCTCAGTTGTGTGTGTGTGTGTGTGTGTGTGTGTGTGTGTGTGTGTGTGTGTGTGTGTGTGTGTGTGTGTGTGTGTGTGTGTGTGTGTGTGTGTGTGTGTGTGTGTGTGTGTGTGTGTGTGTGTGTGTGTGTGTGTGTGTGTGTGTGTGTGTGTGTGTGTGTGTGTGTGTGTGTGTGTGTGTGTGTGTGTGTGTGTGTGTGTGTGTGTGTGTGTGTGTGTGTGTGTGTGTGTGTGTGTGTGTGTGTGTGTGTGTGTGTGTGTGTGTGTGTGTGTGTGTGTGTGTGTGTGTGTGTGTGTGTGTGTGTGTGTGTGTGTGTGTGTGTGTGTGTGTGTGTGTGTGTGTGTGTGTGTGTGTGTGTGTGTGTGTGTGTGTGTGTGTGTGTGTGTGTGTGTGTGTGTGTGTGTGTGTGTGTGTGTGTGTGTGTGTGTGTGTGTGTGTGTGTGTGTGTGTGTGTGTGTGCGTGTGTGTGTGTGTGTGCGTGTGTGTGTGTGTGTGTGTGTGTGTGTGTGTGTGTGTGTGTGTGTGTGTGTGTGTGTGTGTGTGTGTGTGTGTGTGTGTGTGTGTGTGTGTGTGTGTGTGTGTGTGTGTGTGTGTGTGTGTGTGTGTGTGTGTGTGTGTGTGTGTGTGTGTGTGTGTGTGTTGTGTGTGTGTGTTTGTGTGTGTGTGTTGTGTGTTGTGTGTGTGTGTGTGTGTGTGTGTTGTGTGTGTGTGTGTTGTGTGTGTCTGTGTGGTTGTGTGTGTGTGTGTGTGTGTGTGTCTGTGTGTGTGTGTGTGTGTGTGTGTGTGTGTTGTGTGTTGTGTGTGTGTGTGTGTGTTGTGTGTGTGTGTGTGTGTGTGTGTGTGTGTGTGTGTGTGTGTGTGTGTGTGTGTGTGTGTGTGTGTGTGTGTGTGTGTGTGTGTGTGTGTGTGTGTGTGTGTGTGTGTGTGTGTGTGTGTGTGTGTGTTTCGCTTAAGTGCTCGCACGCCTCTTTAGGAACTCGGTGACGCAGGAAGAGGTGTCCGTGACTGCTCGCTGCGGGCGGCACGAAACGTTTTCGGAAATTCCACAAATAGATTCCTTCGTTTCACGTGAGTGTAGTTGTAATTGTGATCCGTGTTCATAGCCAGTGGAGGGTGTAAGCAAGGGAAATCGAGTGTGGTTGACTGCCCGCTGTGGGCGGCTCCACACGGTCGAGTAGATTTCTTGTTCGGTGTGGGCGAACTTCCTATTGCCGCCATGACCTCTAGGATGCTTATCCGGAACTTTCAGATCGGAGACGTACAAGAATCGTATAAGAACAAGCGGGAGAATCTCACGGTCGGCAGAGAGACGGAAAAGGCATACTGGTTGAGTTTGACCTTCCGCAACGGAGAGACAGTCCAAGTCCCAATGATCTGGCGCACCAAGGGTAGCAGATCCAAGGTCGAGGCAACTCTCGTATAGCCGTGGACGTGCTTCTGCAGAACGCCGGCGAGACTCTGGAGCAGATTTTTCTGAGGATGAGGAGCAGCAATCCGTCCGAGGAGGAGAAAGCGTACTTGAAGCACGTGGCCGCTTGCACGACGGAGATGTTTCTTGCTGCGCACGAATCTGACATGCACTGGCAGCAGGATATGCATTTCGGGAATTTGACACATTGTCGGGCCACCAAGCAGACCTACTTGGTGGACATCGACGCGTGTGACCAGCGGCAGCCGAAAAGTTTTTATGAGGCTTGGAAGGAGATCAAGAAGAGACATTGGCAGAAGAAGACGATGTCGATTCACGCTCGAGCTTTCCTCGAGTACATGGAACCTCTGACGCTGGCCGCACGTCCGACGGTGCCAAGGTCCCTTCCGACCCCCGTTGTCACGATGGTACGTGCGTCGCAGGCCGGCGAGTCTCGACCGGTTTGCCCTAGGCAGCAATGCGTGTGTGATGGCAGGAGCCGTGCCGTTCGTGTTCTGTATTGTAGGGTGCGTCGTGCCGTTGCAGGTGCAGCAGTCTTCCGGAAGCTCGACGGTCCGTGCCGAACGGAGTGTGCTTTTCCGCGTGCGGCGAGCCGGCGAAGATCGCATCGTGGCGGTTTTCACAGACGAGCGGCACGTTCTGCTGCCTCCCGTTCGGTTGGAGAGCCGCGTGCCACGCGAAGCTGCGGCACTACCTCCCTGGCAAGGAGTCGATGTGTCGGCGAACGGCAATCTGCGAGGCCTCCGGAACAGCAGTGTCAGAGCTGACCGCCGCCTGCCGCCAAGCCCCCTGAGAAAGAGCGGGCGGGCCGAACGGCAGCGGAGCAGCTGACTCTTGGGTGTGGGTCATCTCGGCGAGCGCCGCCCTCGAAACCACCACCCCCTGCATCACAGAGAGCTTGCTCTCGCACTGAACGTGGAAGTTGCCATGATCAAGGCCGCCCACGAACGAGACCAGCACGCCGATATTGGCATAGTCCGTGGTGGCGGCATTGTGCCACCAGTTGTTGTGAGCAGCCGCCAGCTGAGCGAACTGCTCGGTCTGCTCCGGCCCTTCCACCCGTGCCCGTTGATCACGGCACCGGGTGATGGCCTGGATGAGCGTAGGCCCACTGATGT